GGCCGCCATCTTGGCTGACAGTTAATTTGCATAAGGATATGCTGATTAGCCAATGGGAAGGGTAGCGGTCGTACGCTAATTACCATGTTTCTCTTTTATTAGTGTAGATATGTCTCCCTTTTTCTCACTGGTTCCACTCAGAAGATATTCAGTTAGTGTCCTGAAAGAGTGACGCAAAGGGTGGAATCTCCTCTTTGCTCGGGAATGATGGCACAATCAGAGAATATGTTGATTCTGGGTGAATTAAAGAAATAGGCCTTCAACCAAGAACAAGAACATATATCATCCTGGACGGTGTGGCTCAGTAGTTGAAGCATTGTCCCATCAATGTTTCTCTCTCTCTCCCTCTCCCTTCCTCTCTCTCTAAAAATCAAGTAAACACATATATTTTTTAAAAAAAGAAGGATAGCATGGTCCCTTACTTTGCATACTTACGACATCTGTTGGCTTCCTGAATTTTTCAGTCCACAGCCATCACCTTGGACTTACAATGTGAGCACCAAGAGGTCACCCTTGGTCCAGGCAACGCCCAGTGTGTGACAGAGGCAGACCTCAGATCAGCTCTCGCTTGGGCTGGACTTAAATTCCTTGCGATCCCATGTTCCTGGTCCCCAATTGCGTCCCCTATGACACATGCTTCCCAGGAGACCTCTCTTCTCCCGCCTGCGGTCCCTCACCTACTGTCCTTAGAAAGGCGGCTGTGGATGCCGGTCCCCGAACACGCCCCCCAGGTGCCACCTCAGAAGTAGCGCAGGGAGAGGGAGGTGAGGTGCAGGCCTGGGCGGTTAAGAGGGCAGCCCAGGTCGGGGGTGCAGGCCTGGGAAACACTGTTTTGGTGGTTTTGTTACCTTTGCTTTGAAAGCTACGCCCCCTCCCCCTGCAATGAGGGACGCTGTGGAGTTTGCCGTAATTTGCAGAATTCTCCCCAAGTATGGGGGTGAGTGTCTCTGGCCGCATTTCCTGCAGCGGGAAACCCTCGCCTCCAATTCCATCACAAACCCGGTGGCCGTGGAGATGACCGAGCCTCCGCTGCCCGTGAGCCGTGTGCAAGGGATGGAAACAGACTAAACAGGAAGCACCCACTAACAGAGGTGCTGCTCCCGACGGCCCCAACAGCCCCCTTGGGAGGGCCATGGGTCGCTGCGTCCAGCCTCCGCCGCCCGTGAGCCGTGTGCAAGGGATGGAAACAGGAAGCACCCACTAACAGAGGTGCTGCTCCCAACGGCCCCGACAGCCCCCTTGGGAGGGCCATGGGTCGCTGCGTCCACAGAGATCTGAAAGCCACCCTGGTCTCAGCCTTGTCTCACTGCTTGTTTTGTTTTGTTCTGTTTCTTGTCCATTTCAGATACACCAACACTCCTACACTGGATACTATGTCCTGAGCAAAATTCCTCATGGGTAAGACTGTTTTCATTTCCTTGTACTGAGAAGCTGCGGCGTGCTGGCTAGGCGCTTAGTTCTTAGGAATTGAGGGCAGAAAACGGGTGTCTTGACTTTTGACCTCAGGGGTGCTGATGCTGCAGGACCTTTAGGACCAGGGACCCACACAGGGTCAGGGTCACCCGAGTCCAGCACCTGCCCCTGGGCAGCCTCCCTCCCAGACCAGCTCCGCCAGCCCTGCTCTGGCTCCCTGTGCTTTGTTGCTTAGTCACCAGCTGCAGGAGGGGGAGGGGGGCCTGGCGGCAGCTGATGAATGTTCTCTCTCACATCCGTATTTCTCTCTCCCTCTCCATTTCTCTCTCTCTAAATCAATAAAAACATATTTGTTTTTAAAAATGCATGATTGGGGACCCAACGTGTGTGCAGGAAGGAAAGCATGAGAGCAGCGTGGTTTTGAAAGGTTTCCGGGTGGGCAGACAGGGGGCCCATCAGCACAAGAATCCTCATAGGAGCTCACCTCCGAGCCCAGGGGCAGGAAGACCCGTCCAGGCGCTGGGAGCACCTGTGAGTGGGATGCAGGGGAACAGTCGCAGGCCTGGGAAAGCGGGCAGGTGGCTTTTATTGTGTTCATCTCCATTCTGCTCTTCCCTCCTCCTTCTCCCCCTTCCTCCTCCTCCACCCATGCCCATCCTCCCGCAACTCATCCCACCCTCTCGTTCCTGCCCACCTTCCTCCCTCGCCCCCTCCCCGCTTCTGAGCGGTTGGGAAGGTGAGGTGCTTGGGAAACGGGCCAGCACCGGACAGGCTGCTGGCCGCGGGCACAGGTTCCCGTGAATGTTCCCGAGGACCTCCCATTTCCCCGCAGATGTTTGAACAGACGGCTGCGGTGCTCACGGGAGCACTCGCCACAGGGTACACGGCACAGCCTCCTGTCTGCGCCCGCACGCTGCCTGGCTTGGGCGGAGCATGGGCAAGGCCTTGGGAAACACAGGGAGAAATCACGCCATGTGGACACATGAGAGATACAGGTAGATACGCAGCGAAATGTGATCCTGGTTTCTGTTGGAGAGAAATCAAGCCCGAGGAACTGAAGATGACCGGCGATGGTGCAAATAAAGTGTCCGCGAGCGTCTTTCTCCTAAAGCACACACCACAGTCTCCCTGGAGGAGGAGCCACACTGTTATTTTTCAAGCAGACACACATCCGCAAAGGTCGCGGCAGGCAGTGTAATTAAGCAGAGATTTATCTGCCCTGCTGGGAGTGAGAGAATTTATGGGAGCTGATGGCTCTTCCGGGCCCCTTAGATAAATCTGTAAAGCTCAAAACTCTACAAGCATTTTACGCTTAACCCGTGGTGCTGATGTTTTACCACCCCGTCAGGATTTAGGAGAAACAGATTCTGAGAACCTAGCTCAAGTGTTTACCAAACCTTGTCCTGGCCGGTCCCGCAGTGTTTAGAGCAGCGGTTCTCAACCTGTGGGTCGCCAACCTTGGGTCGAGACCCCTTTGGGGGTTGAACGACCCTTTCACAGGGGTCGCCTAAGACCATCGGAAAACACATATATAATTACATATTGTTTTTGTGATTAATCACTATGCCTTAATTATGTTCAATTTGTAACAATGAAATTGGGGGTCACCACAACATGAGGAACTGTATTAAAGGGTCGTGGCATTAGGAAGGTTGAGAACCACTGGTTTAGAGTGTGGCCCCCAATACACCAATGTTGGGGGTTCAATCCCCAGCCAGGGAACATACAAGAATCAACCAATGAATGCATGGATGGGTGGAAAAGAGGTCTCTCTTCTTCTCCTCCTCCTCCTCCTCTTCTTCCTTCTCCTTCTTCTTCGCTCTCTAAAATCAATACAGTAAATATAGAAGGAGGAGGAGGAGGAAGAATGTACCAAACCAGGGGCATACCTGAGGACAATATGGTGACTTGGTTTCAATCTCAGGATGACAGTCCCCCATAGAGGATGCCAACAGATGATGAGCTTTGGGTATTTCTAAAACAATCACAGTAATAATTATCACTATCAGTTGACGTTCATGCGCCTTCGTGGACAGCCAAGTGACTGCCCCACCTCTCCTAGCGCTCAGCAGAGTCACGCCCTGCCTGGCTGACTCCCAACCCCAGCTCTCAAAGCAACGCCCTCGGTTACATTATAGCCATAAAGGTCAGCTTTTAGTTGTGCTAACTTGTTTTTTTCTCTGAGGACTCAGACAGGGAATGAAGTAGCAATTACTTGTTACATTGACCGGGAGCAGCGTCTGGGGGTGAGGGGGTCTGAGAACCCTCCCATTTCTGTGAAAACTGACACAGCCCCCAACATCGCCTCCTTCCACCCCGACGCTCCCGCTCTGTGTTAAGATCACTTTTGGAAAATGAATCATGTAATTAACCAAATATTAGCAACATCTTCTTTCTATTAACAAGACAGTGGGTTTCTGAACAGGGGGAGCCTTTAGGCCTCAGGATTTTGCAATGTTAGGAGCTTACTGACCCCTCAACTTGTCAGAGGGCAAGTGCTCAGCCAGGTGGCAGGACCAGGACACAGAGGTGGGCTTGGGGCTCTGGAAAGCACTGCTGTCCCTTTAAAGTACAAATGAGTCTATTAAAATAGTTACATTACATGACTGGCAGGCCAAACCCCAGCAGCTTCCGGCCCCTCTGCAGACACAGGTCTATGCCTTTTCACGGACTCCCTCCTCTTTCCCGAAATTCTCGGCTTCCAGCCAGAAGCTGTTCCATCTACAGGATGAGATTATTTGTCATTTACAGCTTGATCTTTTTTTCTTAGCTTCAGGCTTCCCAACCAGCCACAGAGAAGGGTCGGACTGAATGCCCAGTGCCCCCGGGATTCTGGCTCCTTCCTCTTTGCAGGGGCAGAGGGAATGGGGGAGCATGCCCCACACAGGGCGGGGCAAACCTGGCTTACAGGTGCTCGTATGGAAAATAACGCAATAATTAATGAGTGACTCTGTTTATGGGATAAACTCTGTGTTTCACATACTGACAACTGTAAGCCTATCTTTGCCCACCCGGTATGTGCTGAGCCTTTCATGAACCAGAGGAGGCGCTCTCTGCCCGTGTGTGACCTTCCTCCTCCAGGTCTGCCCTCTGTCTCAGAGCCGGGCGCATTCCCAGGAAGCGAATTTTCATCTATTCAACGACCTAGTACCTGGGGGTAGGTTTGTCCGACTTTCACATACGAAGTTGTCAAAAATTGTATTCTTGTAAGACATATCTTTTACACAAATTTGCTTATCAAACCAGAATTAAAGCTATGTCTAGCTATGTTTAACATAAAGTGGTCCACAAAGTTTCTATATCAGAATTTCAACAAAACAAAGCAACCGTCCACAGTGCAGGAAGGTCACAGCCAGCTCCGTCCACAGTGAAGGTCACAGCCAGCTCCGTCCACAGTGAAGGTCACAGCCAGCTCCGTCCACAAGGAAGGTCTAAGGTCACAGCCAGCTCCGTCCACAGGGAAGGTCAAAGGTCACAGCCAGCTCCGTCCACAGTGAAGGTCGAAGGTCACAGCCAGCTCCGCCCACAGGGAAGGTCACAGCCAGTTCCATCCACAGTGAAGGTCACAGCCAGTTCCACAGCCAGCTCTGTCCACAGCCAGCTCTGTCCACAGTGAAGGTCGAAGGTCACAGCCAGCTCCGCCCACAGGGAAGGTCACAGCCAGTTCCATCCACAGTGAAGGTCACAGCCAGTTCCATCCACAGGGAAGGTCACAGCCAGCTCTGTCCACAGTGAAGGTCAAAGGTCACAGCCAGCTCTGTCCACAGTGAAGGTCACAGCTGGCTCCACCCACAGTGAAGGTTGAAGGTCACAGCCAGCTCAACCCACAGTGAAGGTCATAGCCAACTGCGCGTTCTCCATGGAGCGTCTGTCACATATATTCATAGACATTGTTTGCTTCTTCACATTTTCCTGGCATGGCTTTGCCCTGAATTAGTTTCCTCTTTGGTTTGAGTCCTTTTCTAAAAGGAAATGAAGGTTTGAACGTGTGGTCTCATGTCTGTTGGCATCATTCTGAAAAGCACATGACGGGAGGACATCAACTCCTTCCACAACAGAATCAACTTTCAGGAAACTCTGGGCGGCATTGTGGGGTTTGGCAAACAGTAATATCAGAGGAGAGACGGGTGGGGTTGGAGGCCGTGCTGGGACATTGTCGCCCTAACTGTACTCACCGGCATCTTGCAGGCACCAACCAAAACTGTAAAAAGTGTATCTCTTTGGAGTTCTGGTTGGCTTATGAAGTTACAGTCTGTGTCTGTGAAAATAATAATCTGAGACGTAGGCTCCTTCTGCCCAGAATTCCTCTCTAACTTAAAGGCTGGGATGTCAGTGGGCTGGCAGTGTGCCCTCGGCACCTGACCCTGGCCTCACGGCACGCGGCAGGAGTGAGGACCTAAGCCCTGAGTTCGAGCACCAGTCTGACACCGACTATGGGATGACAGTGAGAGATGCTGTACGTCTACAAATCTTAATTTCCACATTTTCCAAAGATGATAATAATGCCCGCCCTATAGGCCAGTGGTTCTCAACCTTCTGGCCCTTTAAATACAGTTCCTCATGTTGTGACCCAACCATAAAATTATTTTCGTTGCTACTTCATAACTGTAATGTTGCTACTGTTATGAATTGTAATGTAAATATCTGATATGCAGGATGGTCTTAGGCGACCCCCGTGAAAGGGTCGTTTAACTGCCAAAGGGTCACAACCCACAGGTTGAGAACTGCTGCTATAGGCACATTATAAAAATTAAGTGGAACGCTGTATGCAAAAGGCACAGCAGAGTCGTGCTCCTAGTGAGCAGATGCTAACGCTGTGACCCACAGGTTGAGAACTGCTGCTATAGGCACATTAAAAAATTAAGTGGAACGCTGTATGCAAAAGGCATAGCAGAGTCGTGCTCCTAGTGAGCAGATGCTAACGCTGTCCTTAGTGCTGGAGTGTGTGTCCGAGGCACAGGTGTGGCCTCAGAAGTAAAGACCAT